GCCCCGGGAAGGGGGCAGGGCGGGGCCGCGCACTCTCCGCTGCACGCCCGGGGTCCCCGCGCCGTGGAGAGGCCACGCCGGACGCCCAGGGTCCCACGGACGAGGGGCACCCTATGCAACTCGCACCTTAGGATCACGGCACTCGGAGACCCCACACAGGAGGCAGGCCCTGTGCAGCATGACCTGAGGACTCCCGCGGGACGCACATCCTGCAGCACCCCTGACTCCTGACCTGGGGACCCTGTTATCGGCAGCAGCACCTGCCCACTGTCCCCTGCGGACTCTCTGCGCCATCGAGTGAGACTCTCGGCCCTGAGGTGATGGCCCTGTGTCTGGCAGCCCTGCCACAGCCTCTCTGAGCTCCCCGGCCAGGTCGCTGTCAGGGCCAGCCCCAGTGGCCCCTCAGGAGCTCAGCCCTGTGTGACCCTTCCCCTGCAGCCTCCAGGGCCAGGAAGCCCCTTAGCCATCTGTAGGGTCAGGCGCGCGAGTAGCCAGAGTGAGACGCCCCTGTCCGCCACTGCACGCACTGGCTGTGCGGTGGAAAAGAGGCGAGCCAAGAAGGCCTGGGGGAGGAGACTAGAGCCCCAAGTTGGACAATGTGCACGAGTCCCCACCGGAGCAGTGCTCACCAGGGGCGGGCTCAGGCTATGTTCAACCTGACACTAAGGACCAGCCAGCCAACCCGGGCAGTGGCGCCTTTTATCCACAGGACAGGGTGTCCAAGCTGGCCTAGGTACCTGGGGGACACCTGGGGGCTGCCCACAGTGCTGGGCAGAGGTGAGAGGGCCGTGCCCTCAGCAGCCTGGGTTGTGGCCTGATGCTCACCCCCTGGGTGAGAGCAGGAACTAGCCCCAAACCAGCACTTCCAGGTCACAGCTCCTGCCTTGGGGAGCTGGCCAGGCATCCTGGCCAGGCCGCCATCACCCCTGAGGCAGAGGCAGGTGACCTCAGGGATGGGCTTGAGATTGAGCCTCCACATTGCCCTGGGGTTGTCTTCCTGGCCACCACCATCCCTCCCATCCCTCCCCCTCTTCCACGACAGGAGAACTTGCTGTGTGCTCATATGGAAGAAAGCTGGGGAGAAGGTCCTGTCCTTAAAAAGGATGTTTAAAGACAGAGAAGGGGCGTATTTGTTTTCCTGGAGAAGGCTTCCCTGGCCCATATTTTGGACCGAAAAGTAAATGTTGCACTCGAGGGAGTCACTTCCCTCTATTGGGATTTGAATTCCAAACAACACAGTCAGACTGTGATCCAAGGACCCGTGCCCACTGGGAAGCGTCTCCAGTCAAGCAAATAATTTCTCCTGCTCTCCTGGCCAAGCAGGCCCAGCCTGGACCATGCTCGCCTGGAGGCTCTGCTGCCCTCCCCACCTCTGGCTTTGCAGGGTGCCGGCTAGGGGCCAAAACTTCCCCAAGCTGCAGACCCCAGAGAAGCAGTCGGGTGAAGGACTGGGCCGAGAGGAGGAGGAGCAGGAGAGGGCTGAAGGGCTCTAAGAAGCAATGAGGGCCTCCAGTTGGCCTCCATCCCCTACGGACTCTGTGCCTCAAAGAGGAAGCACCACACCCACCCCACCCGCCAAGGGTCGGGGCAGCTGTGCCTGGACACAGACCCCAGGGCCCTGTTTCCTCCCTGAGCCCGGTGGGGGCTGCCACCTGCTGGCCTTCCTCCCTCCAGCCCCTCTCAACGGCTGCTTGGGCCAGTCGCCCTCGGGGACAGCCATGCCAGCAGGTGAGTGGGGGTCTCCAACCCCCGGGCCGCAGACCAGTACCAGTCCGTGGCCTGTCAGGGATTGGGCCGCACAGCCGGAGGTGAGCAGTAGGCAAGCGAGTGAAGCTTCCTCTTTGCAGCCGCTGCCCATCGCTCACAGGACCACCTGAGCTCCATCTACTGGGGGTCAGATAGATCAGGAGAGGCATTGGATTCGCAGGGGAGCACGAACTCTACTGTGAAGTGCGCATGCGACGGATCTAGGCTGCGGCTCCCTAGGAGACTCTCACGTCTGGTGATCTGAGGTGGAGCCCAGGGGGTGATGCGAGCGCTGGGGAGCGGCTGCAAATACAGGTTCGCGTGAGCAGTGAGGTTTGACTGCACAGAGACCCTAATAAATCAATGGCTTGCGGACTCCTGTCAGAACCCTCTCAGTGAATGGCCAATGAGTTGTGAGTTGACGTACTTCAGTTGTACGGCTGCATTTGGGGGCAGGCTTTAAGGCAGAATCTGACACTTAAATTTTTTTATTTTTTTGAGTCAAAGTTTCACTCTGTCACCCAGGTTGGAGTGAGTGCAGTTGCACGTTCATGGCCACCGCAGCCTCGACCGGCTGGGCTCGGGTGATCCTTCTGCCTCAGCCTTCCAAGTAGCGGGAACCACAGGCACGCACCACCACGCCCAGCTGATTTTTTGATGTATTGTAGAGATGAGGTCTTGCCAAGTTGCCCAGGCTGGTCTCAAACTCGTGGGCTCAGGCAATCCTCTTGTCTCAGCCTCTCAAAGTGCTAGGATTATAGGTGTAAGTCACCATGCCCGGCCCAACACTTATTTTAGTCTGCGCGTGGCCCACCCATTATTTTATTTACCACTTCTGTCCGTGCCTCTTTTTATGATGGTGAGTCGTATAATCATTTCATTATATATTACAATGTAATAATAATAGAAATAAAGTGCACAATAAATGTAATGCGCTTGAATCATCCTGAAACCATTCCCTCCCCATGCCCCCCGCTCCAGTCCGTGGAAAAATTGTCTTCCACAAAACCTCTCCCTGACACCCACTGAGGTAGAGGGCCCGGGCTACAGGCACAGCCAGGGCCCTGGGTGGGGTGGGGTGGGCTGAGTCCCTGCCCGGAGGAGCCCAGTGTACAGGCAGGGCAGGGACTCCACCGCATGGGCCCTTCCAGCTTACAACCTGGCCCCGCCCTGCTGATGGTCTTAAGCTCCTGACCATGCCTGTGTCCCCTCATTTGATGAGCTCCGACCACCATGGGCGCTGGGACTGGGGACACGAGGCCAGGCCCTGCCCTGTGTGACGGACAACCACCAGTCAACAAACCTGCTGGTCCAGGAGCGAGAGCATTCAGTCCTAGGAGTCCTGGAGTGACCAGGCTGGCATTAAACCAGGAAGGCCTCCGGGGGGCTGGCCTTGGAGTTGAAACCCCGAAAGCATGGAGGTGTGCCGACACTTCAGCACCAGAGAGATGAAGGCACTGCCAGAGAAAGGGGTTCCCTTGGCTTTGGGGGAGCTCAGAGGCCGCGCTGGGGAAGCATGCTGTGAGGGTCAGACCACCAGCCCTTGAAGACAGACTGCCTCCCGCTGCAGACTAGCTCTGCCCCACCTTGCCCTGCCTCCCCCATGGCCACCCCCTCCCTCCTCCCTGGAGCCAGGAGGAGAGGCCTGGTGGCAGTCAGGTACAGACAGCCATGGTCAGGAAAGCCCTAAGTCACTGTAAAAACCACTTTCAATTTGAAAAAAAAAGTCCTCAAGCTTGATAAAAATTTTGGAAAGACCTAAATGTGGGTTCCACCAAAAGCAGGCCCCAAGAACAAGGCTTGAGTGGAGTCATGGACTTGGGAGGTTATCCCAAGAAGCCCAAGGAGAGGTCCAAGCAAGGGAAGGAGGGAGGGAGGAAGTCAGACCCTGAGGAGCCTGGGTAAAGCCTCTCACCCTGGGCCGGAGCTGACTCCCCGGCGAAGAGCACAGGGCTCAGAGCCATCCCGAGCTGGAGTGGGCCGGGGACCGCCAGCGGAGCGGGGATTGACCTAGTCAAGAAAAGCCTGAGGGAGGTTAGAGCCAGGTTTCTCACTGCTGGAGACAGGAATTTAACATATGGGAAGGAAAAAGAACGGGGTGGTGTCGAATTGGAATTCAAGGCACCGTGTGATCTCACAAATGTCAGTGTCTAGAAACAAAACTAGTGACTCAGATGTGTGTTTGCACCACACCTCTGCGGTCCCTGGCTCTGTCCAATGAGCGGTCCTGAGAGGAGGGGCCCTCCAACAGCAGCGAGCACACCAGCAACCCTGGCCTTGGCTTCTAACTTCCACTCTCTGAAAGGAGCCAGAGGGCTTTGGAGAAACAGCTGACCCCAGGGCTGGGGCTGGAAGAGCAAATGGAGGATGGGAAATAAGGATGACAGGGCGTGTAGAAGGACTGCGGAGCCCACGCCAAGGGGTCACCCTAGGCATGACAGCAAGAGTACGGATGCAAGTGCAACATGGGGCTGCAGCCGGAGCGCCAACTCGGAAACCCTGGGCCATAACAGGCTTTAA